TAGTAATGCGTCCTATATACATTTGCACAAATATTCAAACATTTGCCTTTTAAAATGTTTGATGCAGCAATCATTGATGTATCTCTCTCTCCCTCTCCCAACCTCTCTGAAATCAATAAAAATCTATTTAAAAATAAATAAAATGTTCACTGCAGCATTGTTAACAAAATATTGTAAACAATCATATATAATAAAAGGCTAATATGCAAATTGTCCCTACGGACTGGAGTTCGACCAACTGGGAGTTAGATGTGTGCTGAATACCAGGAGGTGGCAGGCAGCAGTGGAGGTGCTGCCGGCCCAATGGGAGCGGCACCATGGTGGGATGGTGGAGCAGGTGAGTGGGCGGTGCCAGGCCAAGGTGGGTGCAAGCGGGCACCCCGATCGCCCCACCGGTCACCCCAATCGCCCCGCCGGTTGCCCCACAGATCAGCCCCGATTGCCGGTCAGGCCTAGGGACCCTACCAATGCATGAATTTCATGCACTGGGCCTCTAGTATTGAATAAAATGTTGTATGCTATTATGCAGCCATTAAAAATAATAGATTCGTCCAGCCAACATGGCTCAATGGTTGAGCATCTATCTATGAACTAGGAGGTCATGGTTTGATTTCTGGTCAGGGAACATGCCCGGGTTGCGGGCTCCATCCCCAGTGGGTGTGGAGGCCAATCAATGAATCTCATCATTGATGTTTCTCTCTCTCCCTTCCTCTCTGAAATCAATAAAAGTATTAAAAAAAAAAAAAAAAAAAAAGGATTTCAGCCCTACTGGTCTGGCTGTGGTTGAGCATCAACCTATGAACCAGCAGATTATGGTTCAATTCCCAGTCAGGGTACATGCCCAGGTTGCAGGTTCGATCCTCAGTGGAGGGCTTGCAGGAGGTAGCTGAGCAAATGATTCTCTCTTATCATTGATGTTTCTATCTCTTCCTAAAATCAATAAAAAATGTATTTTAAAAAAATAGATTTCAAATACTGACAAGGAAAGTGTAGCATAATCTCACTTTTATTAAAACACATACTTATAAGACTTATATATACAAAATACTAAAAAAAATTCTTAGTATTTGCTCAGAAAAAGTTATACCAAACTGTGAACATCGAGCAAGGGGAACTGAAACTTGTGATTTTATATATATAAAGGACTTTTACTTGTTTGTTTACATTTATGAAACAAATATATATATATATATATTACATTTATATTCAGCAACAAAATCAAGAATTTCCATTTTGGGGAAGAAATAAACATTTTGGGTTTAGAAAATGTCTTGCTGAGAAAATAAATTTGACAAGTAACTATTTGGGTGTCCTATCTATGGGTTATTTTCCTTCAAATGCATGGCTTTGTTACTCCTTCCACTTATAATTTAAAAAGCATTTTAAGTAAAGAAAAATAAAACATTTTCACCTTAATTTACTCTTTAAATGGTTATAAAAGGGTATAAATTAATTGCAAATGAAAATGCACTAAAAGTGGGACCTAAAGCCTAGACATTTAACACCAGCTAATGGGAGGGTATGAGATGTGAATTTTACAGAAACGCTGTTTTCTAAATTATAAAACCCATAGATTCAAATCCAAGTGTGAATTACAAAGACGTGCTCTACAACACTATAAGGAAGGATTTCTTTTTACTCTAATTTAATCTTATAGCCTCATTCTCTGCCCCCTACCCCAATGCAGTTATTTCTTTTGGAGACAAAAAGGAAAAAAAAGATCCTGTTTTTTGGACAGCTGCACTTTTGATATTCCAATATTCTAGCTAGATTGCTGGAGACTTACAAAGCATGCTTGTTCATAGACTTCTGATTTATTAAGAATACAGTCATGGCTCTGTAATTGAACACTATAAACACTTTAACAAAATAATTTAATCCTAAACATTTAAAAGTGAATTTACACCACTAATTCCAACAAATCTATTAAGTTGAAGGAAAAAATAATTCTAAATGCTGAAGAAAAACACAGCTTGTGTGGACATGGGTTCTTGAGAACAGAGTCACGCCTTACAAGCTACTTGGGTAGTCACAATTGTTACAACACCCTTGTTTGTTTTACCTTCTAATGACAATCTACACAGCAGGAGACAGAAGGGACAAATGATTCCAGCAGAGAACCTGAAGAACAGAACCAACGAGGAGGAAGGCTCTGGTTGGTAGAAAGTAGACTGAATCTTTGAGCACTTAGAGAAATGCAATCTTTTGAAAAAAGAAGTCCGCCATTTGGTAGTTCAGCAAGGCTTTCTACTTACCTGTGCAAGGAGGTGGCAAAGAGCTGGCTTTGTTTTAGCAGCCTATGTATTACAGCTCACATTCCTTTCACCCCAAGGCAAAGATTAGAAACTGGTCCCCGCCCCTGAGCCAAGTCCATCCTGAAGTACAAGTGTTTGGTTATGACCTCACCTACCACACCTGGAGCCCTGTCACAGCATGGACAAGTCTAAACAGTACCTTGTTCCTCCATCCAACATTCTTCATATACTCAAATACAGCCAAGAGAATAAGTTTTAAAAATGGGGCACCTTCGGAAGGCAACTACTTCCCATTTTTCTGGGCCCCCTTCTATAAAATGTCTCCTCTCTCCAATTTATTCTGAATTCTGCTTCAGGATTTCTCTTCCTAAAACTCCTCTTGGATATTTTCAGTTAGGTCACTGCACTGATAAATCTTTAGGTCATTTTCCCTAATAAAATTCAAACTCCATAGTAAAGCATCAAGAGTTCTTACATCAGTGAACTTTTCTACATCAGTCTTTTTTTCTACCATCCTACAATTCTTGAGTGTCTGCTCGTTTTTGTTTTTAATGATTTTTAAAAATTGTTTTACAGAGAGAGGAAGGGAGAGGGAGAGAAACATCTATGTAAGAGAAACATTTCCATATGGGACTAAACCCGAGACGCAGGTACACTAGTATGGCCTGACCAGGAGTCGAACTGGCAACCTTTCGGTGCACAGTGACACTCAACCGAGCCACTCCAGGCCCAGCAAGTATCTGCTTGTTTTAATCAGGTGATTTCCTGTACATTTTGATGCTCATTGTCTATGGAAATCCTCCTACCTACGCTTTTAAGGATTAGCTCAAAGGCTCTCTCTTGACAGGAGTCTTCAAATACCCTCCAAATGAACTTAAACCCATGGCCCTGTGAATTTGAAGCCAGTCCTCCCTAAGTGCTTCTCCCATCACCCTAAAATAACCCAGGTACCTTCCCTCCTCACATGGCCACTTAGTGAATCTCGGAACTAAGAAGTATTTTCTCCCACTAGTGTAGAAGCTCCTTAAAGCAGAGTCTATCACTGCCTCAATATGTAATTGAATGAATCAAGAATTAGAAGCCAATTTTTGGAGAAACCAGGGCTTTTGGCAAGGAGGCAGGACAATGGTTGTAAGAGGATGGATGTGGCGATCAGAGCGGTCTAAACTTAGATTTACTAGGTTATTTACCAGCTGTGTGTCTTAGGCATTTCCTCTAAAAAAATGAAGTTTACAAAACATGCCTAATATGGTGATTGCGTAAATGGGGTAAAGCACAAACATACCTTAACATTTCATCTGTGGCATATGCTAAGGAGATAATTGTTAGATATCTCTGTTGTTCAGATTCTGCTAATGCAATACTTAAAGGGACATTTAGCCCCGGTTGGTGTGGCTCAGTTGCCAGTCAGGACACATGCCCTGGCTTGATCCCCGGTGCGGGGGTGCAGGGGCAGCTGATTGATGTTTCTCTCTCCCTTCCTTCTAAAATCAAAACTTTTTAAAAAATATATTTTTATTGATTTCATAGAGAAAGAGAGAGGGAGAGAGAGCTAGAAACATCAATGATGAGAATCATTGATCGGCTGCCTCCTGCATGCCCCATACTGGGGACGGAGCCCACAACCTTGGCATATGCCCTGACTGGGAATCGAACCATGACCTCCTGGTTCACAGGTTGACGCTCAAACAGAGCCACGCCGGCCAGGCAAAACTTTTTTTTTTTTTAAAGGCACATTTAGACAACCACTTCTGCGATTTAGGGCAGCAATCGCCAACCAGTGGTCCACGGACCACTGGTGGTCCATGAGGTCTGAAAGGTTGGCGACCGCTGTTTTAGGGAACAGGCAAATCTCTGGTTGAAGACTGGCCTCTCCATCACTGCTGCTTGGATGTTGACGAGTACTTTAACCTCTATGCCCCTGAAATTTCCTTATGTTACATACATAACGTGGTGACAATATACTTCTCCGATAGAATTACTGAGTAATAAAGATCATAGAAGAGGTTACTTTTATGTACTTCAACTCCTAGAGAAAAAAGCCCAAAGTATTTAACATTTTATTCAATTTCTACCATGTTCTGTGAGGGCTTTGAAAATAAATTTTCCTCTTTCATATATAATTTCCTTTTCCCTTTACTGTTTATAGAACAACTGGATGACTGAAGTTGTCAAAATGAAAACTAAAGCCAGAATGGTTCTATTTTACTCCCTCTGCTGGCCTAAGAGCAGGATAGTACCAGGTGGGGCAAAAGTAGGTTTACAGTGTATGTGAGTTTATTCCTGTATTATTATTTATTAATTATTGGATTATTTTTCATACAAACTGTAAACCTACTTTTGCCCCACCCTGTACTACTTGAGAATAATAGTTCAAGATCACTTAAATATTTATTTTCATGAACTTGACTATAAAGATGTAATAGTATTGCACATAAAGACAAAAACCCCCTGCAAAAAACAGATTCAGATCCTGGTGGGGTACCTCAGTTGATTAGAGTGTTGTCTCCATATGCCAAGGTTGCAAGTTTGGTCCCCGGTCAGGGGACACACAAGAAGCAACCAATGACTGTGTAAATAAGTGAAACAACAATTCGATATTTCTCTCTCTCTAAAATCAATAAATTAAAAAAAAAAGGGGGGGGGGGACACACACCCATTGTTTCAGCTCTTATAGACCTGATAATTAAAAGCAATTTTTTTATGTCTACTTTCTACTTTTAACTATTATTTATCCTGGGGTTCAAGTCCAGAAATTATTATCATTTTTTTTTTTGGTACAAAGGCTAGTTGCCCTCCATTATTTTCAAAATGATTAAGATTCTGCTCCTTTATATTTAAGGTTGAAAACCACTGAAAACACCCAAATTTTCCAATTTCTTATATTTCCTTTGCTTTTTCTTCCATTTATAGTTCCACTAATTTTTACAACCACATAATTTAGTTCCAAATTTACAGGGTTTTATTTACTAATTTAACTGTGAATCACCTTTTTGTATTCAAAGTCTTAGATTATGATTTGAAAACTAATTTATTAAACCTTTGTACACAAAGATGATCGATCATACCTGTGTCGCAAGCTTATATGAAGAATGAAGTTATAAAAAAATAAAAGGGTCATTAAAATTGATGTATGTAAATCACTTACAAAAATACCCCAAGTGGGATAAAGCTGCTCATCCCTGATTTTTCTCATTTGGTTGTTGAAGTTGAAATGTGAATTTAAAATGGTTAGAATTTTTTCTTTAAAAAAGTGATCTATTAAACTTATATACAAGATAATTAGCAAAATGTAGAAAGGGAAAACAATGTACAAAAGACGATAAAAACCATCACTCTGCACGGACACTCACAACCCAAAAATAGTATAAGCAAACTACCTCTAAAGCTCTATACTTACATTCCCCCACGTTTTTAAACTGATAAGAACAGATACTACACTTGATCTTAGCCAAAAGGCCGAGAAGCGATCCCCCACGTTTTTAGTAGTGAGAATAAAATACGGTAAACCAGCGAGCCCGATCTTTCCATTCATTAAAAACAGGCCTGACTTTAAGCCACAAATAAGCCTCGGACAGATTTTTAAACATGGGAGGGACAAACAGGAAGACGGTTCATCTGTCCACTTAGTACTAGTGACCAGGACACAAAGGTGTAGATCATGAACTAGGTCTTGGTGCTGTGTCAAGCAGTTACTCAGAAGTCTTCTTGTTTTTCTGCTGGTTTCGGGGTGAGTTCTTTAACAAGTTTCTTATCCTGAGGTACATTCCAGTCGATTCTGCCATATTCTCAAATTCAAATGGCATTATTCCAGTTGCGAACTTGCTCATATCAGGGATAGGACTGTGAGTTTTAGTGGCTGTGGAAGGACTGGGGTCCAGGGGCAGGAGCTTCTGGCTGCCTCCGTTCCTGATGTCACCGTTCGATACCACACTGCCGTCATCGAGAGGCGCACCTTCAGAGCCTCCCTCGGCAGACTCCTCCTTGTCCTGCCGACAAAGCAATGTCGCGTCGGACTCTGGACTCTCTGGATGTTCAACTTCTGATTTCTTTGCACAAGTGTCCTGTTCCTCGGGCTCAGGCTCATCTGGCACCTGCTTTTCAGATGGTTTTCCCTCTGGGACAGGCAGCTCTAGCTCGTTTGGACAAGGGGAAGAGGCAACCGAATTTCCAGTTAAAGGTGTGTCAACAGGCATGTCAGAATCGCTGTTGATGCTCTCAGCCTGCTCCAGGGCTGCCCATATCCGCCTCTGCTGCTCTTCGAGTTCTTCCAGAGTCAGTGTGTCCTCCTCCGTGGGCGCAGGTGCTGTCCTGGTCTGTGGTGAGTCACTGGGAGTCAGTGGTGGGGTGCCCTTGGGGAGCGGAGGAATGAAGGTGGGCGAAGTTCCCCGTGGTAGTGGAGGAGTGTCAGGGGGCAATGGTGGCTGAAACCGAGTAGCATTCCCACTCGGAGATACATGCAGGGCCTCCGCATCTGCAATAAGAAAGGCAAGAAACTTTCAATTGTCAGAGCACTTGGCTGTACTAACATGTATTACTTGAACTTGGGGAGAGTCAGAGATTCAATGGCCAAAAATAACTGGCTTGAAGGGGAAAACCCTGTGGATTCTCATACATGACGTTCACCTCATCCTCAAGCCACCTGAAAACAGGGACACCTGCAGGGGAAGCTGCGGGACCTTCCAGTGCCAGGAACATTAACCAACCCCTTGGCAAATGTTTTCATGCTGTTACATCATGTTAGAGCTAGACACTACAAACAACAGCATGGAGATACAGGATAATTTCTAGGTTGTCTCCTGTAGCTGAAGATGGAATTCGCGAAAGAATGCAGTAGAATGCTTGGCTGGAATTGTAGGCTGGCTGGACTGCTGAGTGTGTGGAAGGCAGGAGGAAACACAGGTAGGCAGACGCGGCAGAGACAGCCCTCGGGCTTATTTCTAATTCTGTGTCTCTAGTCAAGACTATTTGCCTGATCGGTGGGTTCATATAGCTAACTGGTCACTGGTCATCACCAGATGGCTGTCCCCCACACACAGCAGATCCAATCTGTGCAAAACAAAGGATCTTCTTTCAAAATTTGGACTCTTCTCCAATTTGCTATTCTCGCTAATGGCAGCACAAGTAGTATCTGGCTAAAGACTCCAAAACTGAACCCTGCTGACCATCTGAGAGTCCTCCTTTCCTTCTGCCGCACCCAGGTCCTTGGCTCTCCAGGGTCCACCCTTTCCTGAAGATTGTCATAGTCACTACATTATTTCAGGCCATTCCTGTTTGTCACTTCAATAAATTCAATAAAAATTAGAAACAAGACAAAAAACCACACAACACAGTTGGGAAGAATAACTGGGGAAGCTTGGCTTGGCTCTGCCTACCTCCTTGGACCAAGCTGCCACTGCTGGTCTCCGAGCACTGCCCCATCCGAGGGGCCAGGCCAGATGCAGGACTGCTGGGGCGCAGGGGGGGGTGGGGGTGGGGGGAAGAGAAGGTGATGAGGCATCTAGGTCTGCCTAACTCAGGAACCCAGCACACTGGCCCATGCATCTCTCAGACCAAGTATGTCTTCCAACCCAGCTTTTACCGCTGACAGTGGTGATGCTCGGATCTCCACGAATAAAATGTACTATTTAGCTGGTGCTCACAAAGAGCTTCTTCTTTCTTACGGAACTCAGGAGCATGCGAATCTGTTCCACCTTCTCAATAAAATCACAAGACGAGGTGAGACCTACCCGAGTCGAGCTCCATGTCCGCAGGGGAACCCGAGCTGCTCCCCTTCTGCTTCTTGGGACTGCAAGGGCTGGACCGGGACGAAGACCTCTTGGAGCCAGACCTCACACTCGGCTAACAGAGGAACCAAACCAGTTACAGCGGGCAGACAAGAAATGAAACTTCACCCATCCCTTCACTTAAACATGACGCAGAAAACCAATCCAGAGTCAAGTCCATGTCACTGGCGAATCAGCTACCTTCTCCTTTTGATTCACCAGGAAACAGCAAGAGCTTTTATACAGAGCAAGCGAGGCAATAAGATGCTAATGCATTACAGAATCCCACAGCCACATGCAATACGTTTCTATAGAAGACTCTGAAAGTCTCTTTACCGCTTGGAAGTTTGAAGTAAGGTAACTGGCAAACACGTCCTTCTGCTGATAGGCCTGCATTGGTATAGAACCAAACATCCTCCATTCCTAACGACGAGAAGAGAAGGAAGGAATAAGTGTGTACCTAGGAAACGCCATGCTTTGAGATTTCTGTTCAAAGAAGGTAAAGTGGAGGTATCAAATTACATTTCTGCTTCATACGTGACTTTTCCTTTTTTGGGGAATTAATGAAAATAATGGTGCATCGAAGGAAAAAAACCCCTCAACTCTGCCTACAGAACAGTCAGGACTGAATACTAAGAGCTACTTGACAAAAATCACTTGGCCCCAAAATGTCCTGCTTACTACAGGTAGAAGTTATAAGCAGTACCAACAAGGGCTCTTATCCGACCTGGCTGGCTCAACCCTCCCCCGACTGCTCACTGCTCATTCCTCCTGACACATTTATTTGTGCTGTTTTCTATCTTCTGTTCTTTCCCTTTCAAAACTGATTACTTCTCTTTAAGGTCCCACGTTTCTCATCACCAATAGCACATTCAACAGTGACTGTTACTAAGAATCACTCAGGGCTCTTGTCAAACCTGTAGATTCCAGAGACTGAGTCCATTACGTCTAAGGGACTCAGAATGTGCATTTCCTATGAGGCCGCAAGGGGATTCCCATGTGGGCCAGGTCTTGGATCCACTTTCAGAGGCTCTGATGGCTTGTGCAAGGCAATTCAGCCCTTAATTTAGCCCATGCATTTTTTAAATTAAAATACTACTGCTACCATCACCACCACAAGAGTTAATTGTTGAATTTTGAAACGTAAGAGTTGGAAAAAAAGTGTAGAAATCATTCTCATATAAGATGAAAAATTTTACTTTGAAAAAGAAAAACACCACCATTTTTTTAAGGTATATAAGATTTCACTTAAGATTCTAGTCAACATAAAGAAAATTTAAAAGTTGAACACATTTACTCCTTTATGTAACAGTAATTGCTAAATAAAGCTAACATTTTGAACAATTTACACAGCTCATAAGAATAAAGAAACAATACACTTACATCTGGAATTCCTTTGGGAGTAGATATATTAAAACCTGGATAGTTTACCAATTTCGAGAGATCATAAGTGACATTTTGATTGTGTTGTATTTCTCCAGATTCTGTTTCCCCATCAGCAGCATCTATTACAGACCATCAAAAGGGTTAATATTGCTAGATGCCAATATAAATCTCTCTCCAGACCAAAAGCAGACCTGGAGGGTGCTTACCTTCATGGCAAGAGCATTATTCTGAGAAGGACCTTAATTACAGTATGTCCAAACCACTAGGTCAAAACTGTTCAACAACATGCATGTGTTACTTTGATAAAATATTTAATATCTGGCAAATCTGGTTCTTCTACGGGTTGCTTAAGTCTATTTTGCACCTGGCTGGAGTGGCTCATTTGGTTGAGTGTCGTCCTGCATACCAAGAGGTTGCTGGCTCAATTCCCCTTGTCAGGGCACAGGCCTGGGTTTCAGGGTCGATTCCTGGTCTGGTCTGGCCTCTTGATGTTTCTCGTTATTTTTCCCTCCATTTCCTTTCCCCTCTCTCTATTATCAATAAAAACATATCCTCAGGTGAGGATTTTAAAAAATAAAAAATAGCCTGGCCGGTGTAGCTCAGTGGCTGAGCGTCAAACCAAGAGGCCACTGGTTCGATTCCTGGTCCGGGCACATGACCAGATTGCGGGCTTGATCCCCTGTGTGGGGCATGCGGGAGGCAGCTGATTGATGATGTTTCTCAGTCATCGATGTTTCTATTTCTCTCTCTCTCTCTAAAAGTCAATAATATATATTTTAAAAAAAAGAAAATAAAAATAAAGAGATTTTATACACATGGGATAAAATAACATTAGACCATTGTCAATTGAGATGGAGTAGCCATTTTATCTCTTCTAGACCAGCCGTGGGCAAACTACAGCCCTCGGGCCGGATCCGGCCCGTTTGAAATGAATAAAACTGGAAAAAAAAAAAAAGACCGTACCCTTTTATGTAATGATGTTTACTTTGAATTTATATTAGTTCACACAAACACTCGATCCATGCTTTTGTTCCGGCCCTCCGGTCCAGTTTAAGAACCCATTGTGGCCCTCGAGTCAAAAAGTTTGCCCACCCCTGGTCTAGACAAATGAAAATAAATAAATAAATAAATAAATACATAAATACATAAATAAATAAATAGATTTAAGAAACTCTGAATTAACCACAGCCTTTTGTCCAAAGAATCGCTACCCAAACAAATAAGCTAAAAAAGAAAAGAGTTTGAATATTAGCATGACCTGAAGATTTATTAAAAGGACTGTGCTAAATACCTCTTTGGTATTGTGATAAATTTTCAAAAAATACTTTTATTTTTAATTGCCTAAGTAATATATAGAAACATTTTCATTTAAAAATATTTAGAGCATTAGAGATAAAACTAAAATCTGTATCCATCCTTTTTCCTGTCTCAGTTATTGATAAGCACTGTTATGCTTGAATAAGCACTGACTATTGGTTCAGACATTTGCATTTTATAAAAAAAGATTTATTTACTAGCTACCATGTGCCAGGCTGGCACTGTGCCACATGCTGGGGATATATTGAATACAATGGATATGGTTTTAGCAATTGTAAACCTTACCATCTAGTTGGGAAAATATATACCACTCAAGTAAAACAGAAATAAATATAAACGGTGACAGGGTCTGCAGGAAGCACACAGGGCACAGTGAGAAAAACTGGAGGACAGTGGGTGAATGAGGTGGTCGGGGAAGGCATCTATGTGGCTAAACCCTAAAATCTAGATGGCTCTTGGTCAAGATCTTTTAAAAATATTTTACATAAATAAGTCCTTAGAGAAAACACAGGATTGTTTCATCCACGTGGATTTCTTTCTTTTCACAACATGAGATCAATGATGTCGCAGTGTGTAAGCAATCCAGAAACTTGCTTTCCACTTGGCATTGCACAGAGATTTTGCCATGTCGGCTCATACAGGTTTATTCCACTATAAATATTGTAGGGATTCCACAGACCAGATCTACTGGGGTTTATTTAGCCATTCTCCTGTGGGGCCTTCATGTTGTTTTTAATTTTTACTATCATGTTCAATGCAAAAATATATACACACCCAAGTCCCCTATGCACAAGTGTGAATATTTTTAGAGTAGATATCTAAGAGAGGAATTCTAGATTATAAGAGGCGCTATATATATATATATATATATATATATATATATATATATATATACACACACACACATACATACACACACACACACACACATATATATATATATATATTTTTTAAATATTTTATTGTTTTTTTACAGAGAGGAAGGGAGAGGGATAGAGAGTTAGAAACATCGATGAGAGAGAAACACCGATCAGCTGCCTCCTGCACACTCCCCACTGGGGATGTGCCCGCAACCCAGGTACATGCCCTTGACCAGAATCGAACCTGGGATCCTTGAGTCCGCAGGCCGACACTCTATCCACTGAGCCAAACCAGTTAGGGCGATGCCATATATATTTTAACTTTTATAGATCTCCTGGCATTGGTGGGTATATCTGTTACCATTCCTGAGAAAGGCAAGAACTTAGGGGCACTAGCTGGAGAGTTGGTACTCTGGCCTAGGCAGTCATTGAACAGGTCTAGATAACCATCCGACAATTCACAGTGAGACTTTAGTTCCTTCTTTGCAAAGCAAAGAAAATGCCATCATGTTACTTTTTGTTGTTGTTAACTCAGCACACACTAAAGAAGACATTCCTATCACATCTTATTGATTCCTTTAATTTTAAAAAAATAGATGGCACTGAAGTTGACTTATCTAACCTGATATTACCTTTTCCATCATAGAGCGCAAGCCCTGAATTCTCCAGTTCAGCCTCTTTGAGCCATCCTGGTGGGTATCCTAGCTGGCGCATTCGATATATGAACGGTGGCAGGCTCTTATCTGTCACACCAAGTGCATCCTGAAGTTCCTCACTAAGTATAAAGAAAAAGGGAAGATGAAATACTTTGTTTGGATGAAAACACACACTATTCCAATGTTTTAAAAGAATTCTTACATTACACAGCATGTGGCATGGTGTCTATCAAATATACACAAGGTGTCCCAAAAATACATATACACACGACGTCTGTAGATTCTATTACATTTTGAAAATGAAATGTATTTTAATAAACACCACCTTTATAATTATTCAAAGTGTATGTATACATTTTGACCTTGTAGTTAAGATTTCAATGAACGTTTTCAAATGACTTGATGTATATTATCTAGAGCCTTGCTAGAGAAAACTTACATAATGATAATTACCCTAAATACACAATGTCTCAAATACGTACTGGGGAAACAGAAATGGCATTCTATGGGAAACTGACAACAAGTACCTAATAACGCCTGGCTTGAATCTTCCAAACCTTTCTTCGACTTCGTCTGCATGGTACCGCTGCTGAAAGTTCTGATTGTTCGCTTCACCACAGGCATCCAAGTACTCTTTTCTCTTTTCGCTTATTCGAGCATTATTTCGAGGCTGAATCGTAATGTATTTGAAAAGAATGGTATCAAGCACTTCAGAAATATTTCAGAAATTAAATAAATCTAAGCCCTTTGCTTAGGTCAAGCAGATTATTTTAGTTCTTAATGTATAAGGAACAAGTATAAAAGAGGCTGGATATTTTAGAAAAATAAGCCAGAAAGAGAAGCAGTCACTTTAATGTTTTATTACCTCAGTATTACCATTAACATAAAATCAAGTTTTAAAAATATTGTCTAAAATTAACTAATAATCTTCCATTCATTTCAAATACAGAGCACTGTAATCAAGTTTTAAAACAATCTAATGCCTTAGAATTTAAGTAAATTTTTCAAAATCCAAGACCACAGGAAATTAAAGAGGAAGTTTCTTCATATCACACAATGCCATAAATATGTTGAAACACTAGAAAGCTCTGGTTCAAAGATATTTTTTTCATGGGAAAAAACTTTACCATTGAGCAATCTTTCATTTGATGTTCTTCGGAACCACAATTGAAACAGTGAGGCCTTGGCCTATTTGGTCAAAAAACAAAGATTTTCACAATGTGAGTGAAACTATAAAAGCAAATCAATAAAATACTAGATGACAGCAAAGTGTACCAGAACTTAGAAAGTGCACTGATCACAGATTACTAAAATCTGCAATGGGTACACTTTCAGCTCCCGTACTTGGTGATTTAAACAGCAGCACTTTTAACCAAGAACTGGATGCTCCTGCTTGATCTGTTACCTCTGAGTTTTGCCAGTGGTTCGTACCAAAAGCACCAAGGCAAACAGATCATATTCCTTTAGGCCACATGGAAAGGGGCAGATGGTTTTAAGGCAGCAATCACAGTGACAGCAACAATTTAAACCTTTCCACCCACCCAGACACACTAGGCATGAACCAATGAATTCCAATCAATACCAATTTAAACATTTAATACAGTCTCTATATTAAAATTATAGCTTCATCTGTAATTTATTTACAGTAAGCCAGCAATAAAGAATATTAACTTTTCAAGCTAAAGGAGTTTATGATTTGTGTTTGTTTTTTTTTAAAGCAGAAAACAAAATAAAAACAACTCCCCACACAAACCTTTTGGCCTTTACTTGTATTTCTTGCCCTTCTAGAGAAACAATGTGGCTGAAGACTTGCTGGTACCTTTAGTAAATTTTATTAAGGAATGGTTATCATTGTCTGCAAAATTTGGTAAAACTTTTAAAAGGTGAACTTAATGGCAAGATGAATAAAAGATCTTCATTCACTATGTAGGATACTTGGGTATTTCCCATCCTTCGGTAAGCTGAGGGTTTTCATTTAGTAGCGGTTGCCCCAATTTATCAAGGCAAAAATTAGTAAAATACAGGACACTTCCTACAACCTGCAGAAAACAAGTCAAAAAATATTGCTATTGAAGCAGGAAAAAGAAGACATTGAGTAATGTAAGACTATGATTAATTGTTTTAACGATTTATTTTGGATGAAGTTATTAGAAATAATCAACTCCCTCGTTAAAGGAGCCAGATTTTGATGTGTAAGTAAAAGCTACATGTTTATATTTCCCTATGCCTCCACGATTATTGAGCATTTTCTCTTTGAATCATACTATCAGCTGTACCCTCTCCAGACTTAAAAAATAAAAACTTGCTCACAACTCTCACTTTTCCTTCCAATTCCCCATTTCTCTGTTTCCCTTACAACAAGACCCTCAGAAAAGTTGTCTGTATATTGATTCCATTTCCTTTCCTCCCAGTCTTTTCTTTTCCCTCCATTTTTTTTTTTTTTTGGGGGGGGGGAAATCTCATATAGAAAAGTTGAAGAAATGGTATAATGAACACTCATGTACCCTCCATCTAGATTTAACAATTGTTAATTGACATTTTATTTTATTTTATTTATTTATTTTTAAAAAATATATTTTATTGATCTTTTACAGAGAGGAAAGGAGAGGGATACTTAGAAACATCGACGAGAGAGAAACATCGATCAACTGCCTCCTGCACACCCCCCACTGGGGATGTGCCTGCCACCAAGGTACATGCCCTTGACCGGAATCGAACCTGGGACCTCTCAGTCCGCAGGCCAACGCTCTATCCACTGAGCCAAACCGGTTTCGGCATTAATTGACATTTTAGTACGCACATCTGTTTTCTCTCTCACACACATACTCTCATTATTTTTTCAGATTTACTTTTTACTGAGCCGTGTAAACAATGTAAGTCACCACCACTATCATCACAGTATAAGCCATTATTTTATCTGGCCTGAGATGAGTACAATAACTTCCTAGTTTCCAGTTTCCGATTTTTATACTTCACCCCTACGTAATTCAGTATGGGCCTTCTAAGAATAAGAACATTCTCTTATAAACCATCTCTCTACATTCTGTAAGGCCACCCCTTAGTCCCCCTCTATGTGATTCCAGACCTGTGTTATGAAATATAATTTAAATGATGGTAACCCCCAATGTCGTCTGACTGCTCCTAGACTCCGACCTTGTATATGCCAGTGCCAACTTGACAGCCCTCACTGGACATGTAAGAGGCTTCTCAAACTCACCTATTTAAAACCGCACTAGCACCCTATCCTCTCTATACCTGCTCCTCCCTCCAGCCTTTCCCATCACAGAACAGGCAACAACTTTCTTCCAGTTGCCAAGGACAAAAGCTGGAGTCATTACGACTACCCTCATTCTCATATTCTACATCCAGTTCATCAAAGTATTTGATCAGTTCTACTTTCAAAGCATCTCCAGGTTAGAAGTCACTTCTTATCGCCATCATCATCATCTTGGTCTAAGCTATTTCATCTCACCTGCGGTAAATGCATTAACTTCCTAACTGGTTTCCAGCTTTCATATGCAACCAGCTACAGACTCTTCCACAGAGAGCCAGTTCTTTTATAAATTCAAGTTATATCACATCCCATTTCTACTTAAAATCCTCCAATGGCTTCTCATCTTACTCAGAGTAGAATCTGAAGTCCTCACTGTGGCCTGGAAGGCAATGTAAGGATCTAGATCAGTGGTTCTCAACGTTCCTAATGCCGCGACCCTTTAATACAGTTCCTCATGTTGTGGTGACCCCCAACCATAACATTATTTTCGTTGCTACTTTATAACTGTAATTTTGCTACTGTTATGAATCGTAATGTAAATATCTGATATGCAGGATGTATTCAGGCGACCCCTGTGAAAGGGTCGTTTGACCCCCAAAGGGGTCGCGACCCACAGGTTGAGAACCACTGATCTAGATCATCTGCTGTGCAGTCAGAAGCATGGATGAAAAGCCTGACTTCACCACTTCCTAGCTAAGGGGCTACTGGCAAGTTACTTAGTGCCCATATCTGTTTCCTCATCTGTAAAATGAAAAGAACGACAGTATCCTTAGGAGGAACATCTGCAGTGAGCTTAGAATAGACAGTACTGGCTATGTACAGTGGGCAATGTATGCGTGCTTCTGCCCGGGGCTTTCCACTTCCTTCTACTGCCTGGAACTCTCCTCTCTCAAACTGCAGTGAGGCTCACTCCCTCAAATTACTCACGTCTTGGTTTAGAGAGGCTCAACCAAGTACTCACTACACAAACCAAATACCCCTCAGGTACTAACTCCTTAGCCTGCTTTATTTTCCTTCAGAGCATTGCCTTCCCCACTATAATGCCATGTTCTCTCAATCTAAGTTCTGTGTTCTAAGTTCTGTGTTCTTACAACTGTATTTATACCAGTTGATTCCAATCCTATCAATCTCTATTACAAATGTTAGGGCGTTTCTTATCTTCATTCCAGGGAGTAAAGATTATGTAGCTTAAGCATGATTGTTCGTAGTTAAAGTGATTAATTACCTGCCTGGCACTTAGTTAAGAGGTTTTATTCCCTCCCTAACTTCAGGGGAAAATCCCTACCTGGGGAAACAACCTTTCTCAGAGAGGAGACCTTGGTTAAAACACATAGTGCCAAGAAGGTGAGCAAACATATTAAGAACAGTATGCCATATGTGCCAGGTCCCTTGAAACAGCAAGCATGGACCGGCTCCCGGCAGAGGGCAAGGACTTTGCCTTTCTTAAAATTTTATTACTATGTCCCTGAAACCTACAACAGTCCATAGTACAAAGGAGCATTTAGTAAATATTTATTAGTATTTATTAAAGAACAACGTTAGCCCAGCCAGCCTGGCTCAGTGGTTGAGCCTCTCTAAACCAAGACGTGAGTAATTTGAGGGAGTGAGCCTCACTGCAGTTTGAGAGAGGAGAGTTCCAGGCAGTAGGTCAGGGTTCAATTCCCAGTCAGGGCACATACCTAGATTGTGGGCTAGATCTCCAGTTGGGGGCGTGAAAGAGGCAGACGATCAATGATTCTCATCACTGATGTTTCTATCTCTCTCTCCCTCTCTCTGAAATCAATAAAAATATATTCAAAATAAAATAAAGAATCAAATTAACAAATGTGTACAATTCCCATTTTCCAGGCAGGTGCCACTAAATCCCAGAATCTCAGTTTAGAAGAGAAATGAAAAGTGATCTGGTTCAGAAATCTTTCTTTAAAGTGCCCGATAGCATCTCAGTCTTTGACTCCAGTACCATGGAATTCGCTTTTTTTTAAAAAATGAGACAAACCACTTTGTTTTTTACAAGCCTGATAGAAATTCCTACGTACTAAACGTTTAGTTGAAATGTGCCTTTGTTCTCAATCCAACCACTGCCCTAGTTCTGCCACTTGGCACTGCATAGGATGACCTAAAATGACACCTTTGCAAATAACAGCCTTCATTGCATTTGTAGAGATGTGACCTCCCTTGTAAATCTTTTCAATGAGATGTGTGGGCTCTTCATCACCCCAGCAGCCCCATGTTTTTAAAGCTGTGGTTGATCAATGGGACACAGTACTTCATAAACAGGAAAACTAGTCTTCCTCTCATAGAACCCAGGCTTACATCATCATCTTAAAAAAATTGTAAGTTGCAAAAAAATCACACCAGTGCATCGCATTGACATTGCTCAATTCCGCACAGGTACTGAAAAGGCCTAAACATAGGTTCGTCCCTGTTAAGCTTCTTCTATTTAAAATGTTTTCAATTTCATATCTGCCATCTGTGATATTAACTATGTACCCCTCTCAGCTTCAACCATCTGTAAGTTCAACAGCATGTTTTCTATACCTTCCTCCAAGTTCTTGAAAATAAACACAGAGAGGTCGGTCAGGATGAATCAAGTCCTCCAGGCAATGTTGACTGTGCCTCCAGGTCACAGTAAAATAGTCATTAAAAAGCAAACTATAGTATTTAAAAGTTGGAAGTCCACACGGTTGTTTGTAACAAATGTAATGAAAGAATGTGTGACCGTCTGATGACATGTGACTATCCACATTATCATTTAAATGCTGCCCAACTGACACAGGATAGGAAATATGTACCTTCAGAATTCCAAAGCTAAAATGTCCAAACTTACACTAAAAGCTTCCTTGTTGTTTTCAATGGTACAGGATTCTTCTACTTTATGGTCCTCTTCTAGCATAACACTGGATGGCTGACACAAAGAAAAACACACATTACAAACGGTAACCAAGTTTCAACTTTAAAACTCAAATATTAGCAATTTGGACACACCCACTTTATTTTCTAATACATACAAAATGGTATCATATGGTATATAAAAGTTTGAATTCACTTGGTCATACTAGGGTGAGTTAAGTTAAGCTAGGTAGGAATGCTTATGAAAGAAATTTCACAAGTAGGGAAATTAAAAAAGATATACAAACTGTCTTCTGAAGCATTAGCATATACTATGACTTTCGTGTTAATAAAGTTATGGAACTTTCAACATTTGAACTGATAAGGCAGACTTTCGTTTCTCTTGAAATCAGATAACCAGAAAGATTAAAATATGTAAATTTATATTACTAGGCAATTCTACTATCATCTTCACTGACCTCAAGCCACCAAAATATTCTCAAGTGTACCTTGAATCAAAACGTTAATATTATTTAGTGTTTTCTTATTGTTAACTGTATTTCCCATTTCTTGAATCTTCAAAAATTGTATATAGCCCGCCTGGTGTGGTTCGGTGGTTGAGTGAACCAGGAGGTCACGGTTCAATTTCCGGTCAGGGCACATGCCTGAGTTGTGGGCTTGATCCCCAGTAGCGGGGGTGAAGGAGGCAGCTGATCAATGATTCTCTTATCATTGATGTTTCTATCTCGCTCTCCCTCTCCCTTCTCTGAAATCAATAAAAATATTTATTTAAAAAATTGTATATAGGTGAAAACTAAAGGTGATTTTAAATTTAATCAGAATACTGTTCTCTAACTTCAGATAGACAGCTCAAGATCCTTATCTGAGAGACTCACCTTAATTTCTAATTTTAAAAAGGCCCCGCAAACATAATTCTGATCTTTTAAACATAAATTCATGCTCTAATATTCACAGAGTAAAATGTCTCCCATTTATTTGGGCATGCTATTTATTTAACGTGTGTGTGCGGGGGGGGGGGGGGGGGGGGAGAAAGGATGGCACATGTTGGCTTTAGGGAAAAAGAATCCATATTCTATAAACTTAAGAAATACAGATTTTGGAGGAGCCTAAAATTAGTTTTCTACACAAATCCCCATGTCCAAGTTAGAAAATGAAAGAAAAGCCTTCAACTTTTCATACCGTCAGGTCTGAATCTGACTCCCATGAGAAAAGGAGCCACGATCCAAAAGAAAGCCCATGGCTGCTGGGCGGACCACAGAGAAAGCAGCCAGGTGAAAGACTGGTGGGGAACAGACCATCTTCATCATTTTGGCTTTGATTTAAGAGGATCCTGGTGGCCTAATAATGAGCAGTGAAAAGCATAATCTACTAATCTGAAAGTCTCTTAAGTTTGAAATACCTGGGGCAAAAGATTAAAGGAAGTCTTTTCCACATCATTTTTCTGCTGTTCCTCAAATCTTTTTACTAAATTTGATACAAATTCCTCTATTTCTTGATGATATTGCCTGCATGAGAGCACAAAATGGTCAGAATTCAGAAAGAGTAAAACAAGGAACAGACTGAAGTCAAGATTATGCCGCGTGTCATTTTGTTACTTTGTGTTTCAGGTTTATCAAATCATTAACTCTGTAACACTCAGGATCTATAGTTGGTGCCAAGTTCACGAAACAATTATGATAACCCAACATAGTGCTTGGCTCATCTGCGCTAAGAATAAACGGACTTTTAAATAAGTTTCATGTATTAAACTTCTAAATACATAATACATGCAAGTAGTTCCATATCCAAAAGAAGTGAAAGGGTTACACAATGAAATGCCTCCTTCCCACCCTGTCTGTTAGCCACCTATTTCTGCCACACAAAGGCAACCTATGCATTCGGTTCTTCCGCATCCTCCTCCCAGAGATTCCCTATGCACACATAAGGAAATACAATGCATAAATATTAAACTTGAAAAATAAAACAAAAACGCAATGCCAGCAAAACTACTGAGGTCTACTTCCTCCAGCTTTCCAGCTCAAGAACCACATTCATAAAACTTCTTCAGTCTCATGCGGGAGGTCCCGAAGGAACCCAGCTTAGGCTGCAGTTGGGCAGCCAACTTCCTCTTCTGATTCAAGGATCTGTTAAGTCTCTTTAGCTCTGACATTCTAAGATTTCTGCAGGTGGGTGGTGTGCAAGTTAGACTGCCGCAAGCTAGAGTAGATGCTGATTTTAATCTGAAGGTGACAATGGTGTTAGAGCCCAACTGTGCTGGGCATCTGGCTGCTGCTACACTCACCATCCAGCTTCCCCTCCTCTCAGACCCTCAGGTTCCTCTTCTGCTGAGACAAAGAAGGTAATGGACCTGCCCCACAGGTACCATTCTATGTATGGTTCCCTTTACCTTCTTCACTTTACCCAGCACATAAGAGAACGTGATTAAGTGACATGGGACGGGGCAAGCAACTGTCTGAAATGTCTAGAACCAATCTTTGAGGAAGGGCCTCAAACCATTTCAGAGCACTAGCAAGCACTGCAGGAATGCAGTCATACTAGACTCAAGCATGCTGAAAGGCTTTCTGCAAAGGTCTAGTTTTGATATTAAAAAATATATCATGCCTGGTCGGTGTGGTTCAAGAGCTGAGCATCGATCTATGAACCAGCCAATCAGTGATTCTCTCTCATCATTGATGTTTCTTCTCTCTCCTTTCCCTTCTGAAATCAATAAAAATATATTAAATAAATATATATGTAATGTAGGGAAGCTTTGAAGATAGCCAACAGGGAAGACTGTTACCTGACGTGGCAAGATAAATGGCTAACATTATTGTTGCGGTGGTAGTGTTTTTTTTAATTAGGCAGTGGTTCTCACCATTCCTAATGCCACGACCCTTTAATACAGTTCCTCATGTTGTGGTGATCCCCAATCATAAAATTATTTTCGTTGCCACTTCATAACTGTAATTTTGCTACTGTTATGAATCATCATGTAAATATCTGATATGCAGGATGTATTTTCATTGTTCGCGACCCACAGGTTGAGAACCTGAATTCTTACAGGTGATCACTTCGCGACCTAGGAGGTGGTCACTATTAATATCGTGTTTTCCAGTGAGGAAACTGGTATGCAGAGAGGGTCAGTGACCTGCCCAGGTTCAGATATGCAGAAAGAAAGAAACCAAATTCAAGTTTACATGATTCCAACGTCCTCGCTCTTCATCAGGATTCCATAAATTTTAAGAATAAGGATGGGAGAAGTACAAATGAAAACAGCATTCTTATAGAAGACATTGTTTCATAAGCACATGAATTCATTATATTTAGAAAAGGGAAAATGACTTACTTTGAAATAACATTGTTCATAAATAGAATCTGTAACAAAGGTCCATCTAACTTAGTGTTGTTCACCAATATTCCACTAAAACAGAAGTTAAAACACATTCTTAGAAGAGTTAAAGCAAAACTTGCATACATACATATATAAACACATGACCTATATAATTCCCAAGTACCAAAGATAATAGTTTCCGTATAAGACCAGGAACACAGTTTTCTCAGGAAAAACCTGTTTCACCATTTACCTACTTTAATGGTTTTCCACAGAGGTATCCCTTACATAACATGTCTTTAAAATGTATCACAAAAAATTAAAAACCAGTTAACCTTTCAGTTTTCAACGACAAAGTTTCTTTACCTGATGGCTGTTTCTTTGTAAATTAGGGAGGAGGAGGGAAGGGAAGGGATGGGTAAACCAGCAGATTACAAGAATATATTTCTAAAAGAATCAGAGTGAATTTGCCTTAGAACTATATAGGAAAAATACACACTTTATAAATAAATGGATAGGTTATTTTCGGAGGGCAGAGCACATTGCACTAAATATCTCAAATCCAAGATTGTAAAGTCGAGATGGAAAAAGCATACTGTTCTGGATTTCACTTTCAAATACTGCAAAACAAAGTGAAAAAAAAGCAACCTGGAAAACTGCAATATATCCCGTCGGGAACCTGGGACCAGTTGAATCTCTGATTCCTTCTCACCTGCCTCATATTTCTATATGAAATACATCAGTCTGTATTTGGAATTGTTCTCATCAAGTAGAGAGATAAATTTAAAATATAAAGTTGTTTTAACTTGAGCAAACTTCAGTTTATAAAAGATACATCCTATGTGTAAAACCCCATGTAACTGCATGGTCTTTGGTTGGAGCCCAGCTTGAACAATCAGCTATAAAGCCGGTCAGTTGAGGAAATGTGAGTAGGTACTGGGCTGGGAATGTTATCAAGGAAATCATGATAATTACAAGGTGTGATAATGGTGGTGTGGTTATGCTCGAAAAAGTATTTTTTTTTTTTTAAAGATACATGCTAAAATATTTGGGGTGAAATGTGCGCATGGGATTAGAAAAAAATATGGCAAAATAGTCACTGGGAATGTAAGTGATCAAAAATGGGTATTGATTCTTCTTTTCATGTTCTTTGAAATGTCTCATAATATAAAGTAAAAACCAAACAAACGCAATGTTAATTGGATAAATAGAGAAACTTCTGATCCAAACCAAGAGACTTGGGGTACAAATTTCCCCTAAATAATTTTATTTCTTTTTCTTCCTTGGTTTTCTGTAGAATGCTTTATCAGACACTATGGAGGGCACTAATTCTAAAAATAAATTCCTTTTTCACTATTTTAATGTTTACTTTTTATAAATTGGCATAACCCATGACACCGTAGTCATCTGAACACAGGTGATTATAATCCACTTTAAAATGCTTAATGTTTAAATAATCAACTCTATTGGAAAACGTGCTTATCTAAAGTATATTTTAATATATAAAAATTATGATTTTTGAGGAATTGTAGTTATAGTCAATAGTTAATAACTAACCAAAAATTAGTTTAAATCCATAAAGTGTGCTCACATAGATGAATAAAAGTAGGGCACAGGGAAGTTATTCTGAAAGGCATCTAAATTCTAAAATTTTAAACTTCTAGTCACCAGGGAAGCCAGTTAGTTACTCCAGCAGATACCATGCATCCGGCAGCCCAAAATTCCGAAAGCCTGAAAATATTTGTACTTTAACTAATATTTTAGATTAATACTGTAATTTTAATTCTGATTTCCCAGAAACATTTGTTGACTAACCAGCTGGGTTGACAATGTGCCTGTTCTGATCATTGAGTCAAAATGTTCTGGATTGTTCCACAAATATTTTCGCCCAGTAAGTCAGTTCAATGCAATTATGAGAATGTCAAGTGTTACCCCCATAAGTTAAAAAAAAAAAAAAAAAGGATTATTCTGATTTGAGTAGGCTGAACATATAAAAATGATACAAAAATCCTAAACACCCTTTTTATAAAGAAACTATGATTAGATATTAACATCAGGATTAAAAAGAAAAAAGGACTACTATGGTGTAATTTCAAGATCTCATTCATACCTTGGTCGAGTCAGAATGTTCAGTTTTCTTTTAAGTTCTTGATGTTATTACGTGTTAAGGAGTATAAGCCCTCATTAAACATTCATAAAGGTCATAAAATTCAACTACTAACTCTCACTTTTGGTGACAGAATGTTATACGGTTAAAAGACACTTTGAACTACTTTGAAGATGACACGGTTACTGAGCTTCTTTAGATTAATACTGGAATTAACACTGGAATGTTGTTGCAGGGTCAGGCATTTGGACCTGAAAATTCAAGTACAGTTTTCATTCCGTCCAACACAGACATTGCAAAGGCACCGTGCCCTGAAGCTGGGAGGAGGCTCACAGGCGGGGCCGTCCCCCCCACAGCTCAACACTCACCCACTCAGGAAGACGGCCCAAGGCCAAGGCATCCTGACATGCGAAACAGTAAACGCGGCACAACGAACTGGTAACGACTTTTGTATCTTGAAATTTTTCATAGTAACACATTGAAGAAAAAGGCATCATGAAAAAAAAAAATCAGACTTCGGAACCTTAACAGATAATTTACCAACCGCTTTTAGGGATCTTAAAATTCCAAAAGGAAAAAAACCCCACCCGAACCAAAATTACATATATATATATATATAACCAGTACAGTTTCTTAAAAAATCCCTAAGACCGTAAACAAACACACTAACAAGTCTTGCTAGAAAGGCTGTCATCATGGTAAATAAAGCCAAATGGAAACATTTGGCGCCTTTTCCCTACAGGTTTGCAACGCACCTTCACTTCGGAAGCGATTTCAAAGTGGAAGAACTTGAACATGAATCCCCAATCTCACTCAGGCCATTAACCATGTCGCTTTGCACCCCACGACTCCTCAAGGCCCCCAAACTCTACAGCTTGGGACCACTAGCTCTGCATAGGCACACGCACAAATAAGTAAAAAATACATGAGGTCTACGCCGAAGTCTCACTACCCGACATCCCCCAATACACAACGGTAACAGGACCGCAGTAACTAACCGGGCTGCAAAGAAAATGAAAGCGGGCGACTCCAGAAAGTCTACCATCGAGCAGTGGCGAGAGTCCGAAATGACCCTAAAAACCGGCCCCGGACCGGGTGACGCGAGAAGCGAGTCCGGATGCGGGTCGCCGGGAGGTCGGCGCCGAGGCCCCGGGGCAGCTGACGCAACCCGAACCCCCGCTTCCCAGCCCGCCCGAGGGGGCGAGACCAATTTACACCGGGTTCCGGCCCCGTGGAATCTCCGCCCGCGTCCCGAGGGGCACGGCCCCCACCCCACGCCCGGGCGCCGGGCCCAGCGGGCGGGAAGGATATTCTCGGCGCGGAGCCGCTCGATCGTTTCCTCGCTCTGCCGGAGCCGCTCCCGCGGCCCCGTGTCGCCAACCCCGTTCTCGTCCTCCTCGTCGCCGTCGCCGTCCTTGAAGCGCGTGTGAACGGGCTTTGGGAGCGACTCCTCTGGGTGGTCAAACGCCTCGAACAGCTCCAAATCCCCAAAATCCACCTCTGCCGCCATTTTGGGCTGTGGGAGAGATTCGAGAAGAGGAGCTGGACACCCGGGCCGGGGTCAAAGGTCGTAGGGCGGCACCTCTCTCGAGGGCGCTAAGCCACCCAGTAGGGTTTTCTTTAAACGTAGGCCCCGGAAGCGGCACAAGGGGCGGGCCAGTCCCGAGAGACTGCAACTACCAAAATGCAATGGCGTCCCTCATACCCACTTCCGAGGTTGCTGGAGAGCATGGCATGCTGGGACATGTAGTTTCTGACTGACTGTTAACTCATTGTTTGCATTGCATACTGGGATTGCTCCTTATTAAACGTTAACAAAGCTAGAGTAAATCAGAATGTGTTGAAACAATATGGGTTGTCCTTGTTATGCATCTAAGGCTGAAAAGTCGGAACACATTCTGGTGTGCATGCCAAACAACTATGGTACTCCAGTTTTGCCACGGACTATCTTTGTAATCTTGTATAGTCATTTCCGCTTATTGGGCTTGTTTTACTTTTTCATGAAGAACTAGCTAGCTAGTCCTGGCCAGGTGGGTAGGTTGGTTGGAGCCTGGTTCATACCTAAGTTGTGGGGTCTATCCCTGGTCAGGGTGTAGATGGGAAGCAACTGATGGATATTTCTCACATCAATGTCTTTCTCTTTGTCTCCCCCCCCCCCCACTTTCCTCTCTAAAATCAAACTTATCCTCAGGTGAGGATAAAATAAACTAGCAAAACTATTTTAGATGTCTTGTGCTCAAAAACGGGGATCACATACTAATCCTGACAAGCTCAGGGGAGGCTTGGGAGACCTAAACTACATAAAATGAGCTGAAATTAAAACTTAAAAAAAAAAAAGACCCAGGGATTGAGGATATTTTTTCCCATTGATTTTTAGAGTGGAAGGGATGCAGAAATGGGGGGTGGGGGTGGGGAGTGAGGAAAAGAGATACGTCAATGTGTTAGACATCCATTGATTGCTTCCCAATGCACCCAGACCAGGGCTGGGGATTGAATCAGCAACCGAGGTATGTGTCCTTGACGGGGAAACTTAACGCATGAACCTTCCACTGAGCCAAACCAGCCAGGGCTGAAAATAAAACTTCCTAAAGGTTATTTACGGCATGTAGTCTTGTCCTGGACTGGTATCATTTTGTGACAAAGGTCAATCTTTACCTTAACTGTGCCTGTCTTTTTTTTTTGGATAATGTACCTTTGGAATGTCAGGGTTAATTTTTTTCCAAATTCCTCAGGGCACCATCTCCCAGGAGACCACAGAGCTCCTCATTGTTATTGTTGTTAATTATCCTATACCCACTTAAGTAAAAGATGTCTCAATTCAAGACCTATAGTCAAGGCATATATAAGCAGCAACCAATGAATGCATAAACACATGGAACAACAAATCATTGTTTCTCTTTCTGCTCTCTAAAATCAGTAAGAAGTTTTATCCCAGCTGGTGTGGCTCAGCAGTTGAGCATCAACCCATGAATCAAGGGGTTGCAGGTTGGATTCCCAATTAGGTCATGGGTCAGGGCACATGCTGGGTTTCTGGCTCGATCCCAGTAGGGGGCAGCCAATCACTGTTCCTCAAATCCATCTTTCTCTCTATCCCTCTCCCTTCCTCTAAAATAAAAAACTTTTAAAATTACATTTAAGTATGTAAATCTTTTGGCCGACCAAACTCTTGATTAACCAGGAATGATATATAAACAACTTATTTCCATCTCTTCCCAACTACTTCTTAAATGGTATTTAAGTTTTCTAAACTTAAAGTAAAATTCATCCAATAAAACCTCATCTTAATTTGCCGTTTTCCTCAACACCTATACACAGCTATGAAATCCTACCCTACCTTCCAAGTTAGCCTCAAACCCACTTGCTCTCACACTGTTCATCATACATTGTGCCTCAGTGTGGTTTAGTTTTACTGTCCTGCTTCCCCCTCAAGTATCTCCTGGACAGCAATCCTATCCTGTTGCTTACAAAGGTAAAAAGCCATCACGGAGCACAGGCCTTGAAATGTAAAGCACAGTAACATACAGAAAAAAAGGGGTAGCAAAAGGTTTAATAAAATCAAATCTACCGAGTATGCCTCCCATATACACGTATTTCCAATTGTGTGAAGCAGTTAACTGGCCTCCCAACCCTGGACTCCAATAATTGCTTCTTAAAATTTAATTATACAACTGACAATTACTAATCTACCTCCCTCTAGATCTGCAATTGGATATGGTTGCCCATGGCTACATATGGCTGGTCCCAATTAGGATGTTAAGACAAAATACACACTGGATTTAAAACACTTAAGTATGAAAATATGTAAAATCTTAACTAAAAATACTGATTACCTACTGAATTAGTTTAGATGTTGTAATAGTTTCATTTGTTTAAACTTGGATACTAATTTTTAAAACGCTGCACTAGATGAGTGCAAGATGGACCATGTCATTCATTAAATGGCAAGCTCCTAAAATGCTGTAGAGCAGTGGTCGCCAACCTTTCGGACCGCATGGACCACCAGTGGTCCATTGACCACCGGGTGGCGACCGCTGCTGTAGAGAAATACAGGAAGCAGTCAGTTACTGTGTGCTTTTATATCCACTATGCCTTAAAGCTTATGAAAATTTTTAATGAAATTAGAGAAGGTATACATAAAACTGAAAAATGTTCCTCTGTGATGCCAAAATAAAAAATCATTGTCATTGATTTTGTCACTGAAGCATGAAACCATTTCTCCACAGAACGGTTATACTCTGGGAAAACTAATTTAAACATTTACCAAAATCCACTAAAAATCTTATAATACAACCACTTGATTTTCCTGTATCACAAAAACATGCCTAACAAGCAAGTTGATCAGACTTAGTAACTCTGGTTTTTAAACATATTGTCCCTAACTGGTCTTGCTCAGTGGATAGAGCGTCAGCCTGTAGACTCAAGAGACCCAGGTTCAATTCTGGTCAAGGACACATGCCTGGGTTGTAGCTTGATCCCCAGTCGAGGGCGTGCAGGAGGCAGCCAATCAATGATTCTCATCATTGATACCTCTCTCTCCCTTCCTCTCTGAAATCAGTAAAAATATATTTTAGAAAATAATAAAGGTTTAAATTTTACCACTATTCACAGTATTGTGCTACTACATTGTGGCAATCTTTCCCAGAGGATTTTTCTAGGGAAAGCTAATGAATTACAAGTTCTGTAGTCCCCTCCCATCACCAAATTTTTAGTACTTTACTTTCTAATGGATAATGAGCAAAGGGAATACAATGAACTTGTTATAAGGCACTTTATTAAAATAAAAGTGCTTACATCCCTTTAAAGTATTAATCTATTTCCTGAATAACATACGGAATATTTAACAAATACTATACACCAATTCTGGCCCTTATAATAGTAGGAAAACAGTATTATTTTAATAAGTTTACTTGCTCCCAACTTCCTTTTACATTTTTGCTCACTATGGTACTGCCAAAAAAATTAAAAAAAAGAATTTTTAGCCAGTGTTTTCTAATAGAAATTGCAAAATGCTACAGAAACCATAAATTCAAATAATTCCAGGTAACTGAAATTACCACCAGTTTTGAGAAAACCATTTTTATTTTCATCACCACCCAGCTTATTTGTGCTGGTATGTACCAAAGGCCAGATCTTCTAAAGAACATCTACATAACATTTCTTTCATGTTTCAAGAGATGAAAATAACTGTACAAGGTTAAGTACAAAAGTACACAAGACAGCGGACACGAAAAAATCCATGTATGAGATTTTTATCCCACCTGCAGCTTTTATATATATTTTGAAAGTAGAATCCATGAACTAAAAAATATTGTCCTTCTATAGTCCTGTCAAGTTTAATGGAAGTGGGTTTAACCTAATTACAACACTAACACCAGTATCACTGATCTGATATTTACAAAAAAATCGTTATTTTTCAATAAATTAAAGTCAATGCAACACCCATGCAAGCTAGAATGCTAGCTGTTTGGTGAACAAGGACCTGACATCAGAACCAGAAGTTTAGAAAGTTCCAAACATTAAGCGATCTTTTTCAAACTGCATCCATTCCTCGCATTGATGATGTAAAACCCAATCCCATTCCTCTTTGTGTATGGGTCTGTGACCTTGCCATTTCATACTGAGCATCTAGATTCCTAAATACTTCTTCCTGTTGCTTCAAAGTCTTGTAACTTTCTTCATCAACTGAGCTACATCCAGCTTCATCTTCACTCTAAACAGACAGAAAAGTATTATTAAAATGAATTTAATAGGAATAAAAAGTGCTTCTTTCACTTGACAGTGCAGGTAAATTACATTTTTTGGATACATATTTGACTTCAATTACTTAGCTTCCTTCCTTCCTTCCTTCATTCCTTCAGCATATGTGTTCCTTCTAGGTATTGGGATGTAACAAAAATCAACTTTAAGTGGATGGGCATGATGAAGAACGGGCAGCACATGCCAGACAGTGTAAACAGCTAGCTCAGTGCAGCTTAATATCCCTTTAATGAAAAACTAATTTCCTTAATAATGGCCAATGTCTGAGCATTGGGGAACTTTCCATGAAATCTAACACTGTACTTGTATTACCCTTAACTCAGCAAAAACTCAATGTTCTAAAAAAGATAAAAAAGCTTCTTTTAAAACTTTAAATATCAAAAGGGTCCTATTCCACCAGGTAGCATTAACCTTAAAATGAGAAGTGTTTATTCTTTTTAAGCAAATCCATTATTCCTTTTCATAAGCAGAAGCTTATGAACTCAATGTTCACCTAAGGTACAAATACACAGTAATAATCAATAAACCTGTTAATTTAAGTAAAATAAATTTGTGTCGTCAACCAGTGATAACAATATTTTAGTTAATTCTGTAAAATTAATGTGGAGAACATAAACAAACAAGAAAAGTACCCAGAGTTGATACATCACTGAAATAACTTTGAAGTTGAGAATCAATGTTACCCTGAAAATATGTTAGTATGATTTTAATAGAAAGTATATATACTCACCTTAATACCCATTAGTTTCCTAAATTTGACATTTTGGTCCTTGTTTCCAAAATTCAACTTTTCCCATATTTCAGCAGACTGGGATTTGTCCTATTAAGAGATGGTGAACTTTTAGGATATGCAAAATTTAAATACCTTTTACTAGGGTATTAAATCTTTCCATAATATAGTATAAGTAAAAGGAACAATAGCATTTACGACATTCTATCAATGGAATTTATAATTATACTAGAGGTGCGGTGCACAAATTCGTGCACCAGTGGGGTCCCTTGGCCTGGCCTGCGACATCGGGCCAAAATCGGCTCTCTGACATCCCCCAAGGGGTCCCAGATTGCGAGAGGGCGCAGGCCAGGCCGAGGGTCCCCACTGGTGCACGTTGGGGCTCGGGAGGGACTGCAGGAGGGCTCCAGGGCGTGTCCGGCCCATCTCGCTCAGTCCCAATTGGCCAGACCCCAGCAGCAAGCTAACCTACTGGTCGGAGTGTCTGCCCCCTGGTGGTAAATGAACGTCATAGCGAACGGTTGAAGGCCTTAGCATATCATTAGCATATTAAGCTTTGAATGGTTGACTGGACACTTAGCATATTAGGCTTTTGTTATATAGGATTAAGATTTCTATTATAGAATGAAGCAAAAAAAATTAAGTACATCATAAAAAATAAATATATAACACTATTGGCTTGCTTTGAAAGCCTGACCTAGATGATGCATTTTCCTCCAGTAATAACTATGGCAAATTTAACTATTCTAATCAGGTTCTCAGAAGAAAAATCCAGACTAATTTTTTCCAATTCATATTTGTTTTCTTAAGCAATTGCTAATTAGGAATAAATGACAGAAGAGGGGAATAGAAGAACTTACCCCTTCTTTCTTGCCTTGCCAAAGCATTTTCCTTTTTTTCTCTTGTTCAGCAAATTTCATTGGATTCACAGCTGCTGGGTTATAATAGCTAGGTACAGCTATTCCGGTTTCTGCCAAAGCTTTAGCTTGCAGGGCTGCCATCTGAGCTGCCATTGCTATCTGAGGAGTTACCTGCGTTCCCGATGCCAACAGGGCAGCCACATTGAGAACAGAACCCCCAGTAGCTGCAGCTGCTGCAAGATGAAAGAAGTATGACTGGGCATTAGGTTACAAAGCAGAAACATTCACCAACATTCATGGAATGTATTTGTTGATATATACATATATTTCTATATATGACCCCCTATATATACTATAACTTCATTTACTTCTTGAAAAAGAAAAGAATTCTGCAAATAGTAAAAAGTTCGTTTCAAGGAAATGAACTTCGGTGCTTGTATCTAAACTTATAAACACAATAAAAACTTTTATTTGTATGGTTCTTCAGTTTACAAAATTATTTCAGACATTTCACAAACATTTAAAAATACTAAAACAAATATTACGCACATTTAACAGATACTAAACAGAAAGACTTCTAATTACATTTTTCTGTCAGTCC